TACCAAGTTTAGAAAGGCTATATAAGGCTTAAAATTCACAATCCTAAACCTAAACCCTAAACCCTAAAGCCTAAACCCTAAACCCTAAACCCTAAACCCCTCATGACAACCCTTTGGGCTGGATAATTTTAATCATCTTTTTAATAGAAATTGTTAATTCTAGATTTTCAGGGCCGAAGCCTGAACATCTTCAGGTTACCTGTCCTTGAGCGCCAGCCACACCACAGCTTTTCTCAGATGCTTGGAGGCTGGCATCACCAGCCCAGATGGGCAGCCGCTGGAAGTCAGCAAGAAGGACCCAGCCTGGACACTGATCCAGGAAGGTTGGTCCTGGAATGATCCACCACCAGGTAGAGCAGGCCATTCCGACATTGGCAGCCTTTGTTCAGTTCGCCATGAACGCCAGCAATTCCATAGGCAAACCCATAAATGAAGTTGAAGTCGGCCTGCAGCTTGCCAACCACTTCAGCAAAGGTATCCCACTAGCAGAAGCAGTGGCCATGGTGAAGCAAGGGGATGTGAGATGCAGAGGCTCCATCACCCACATTGCCACGTATGTCCAGAAGTATGCTGGAGGGGCAGGCTTTCCTTTGCTGTACTTCCTGGCCAAGTTTTCCAGCCAAGTGGGCGGCGCCCTCCTCTTGGGATCCCAAGTCATGGCCACCATAGCGAACTTGGAATGGAAAGACCCAACTTGCGTGTACCCCTTCATCAGGACAGCTTGCTGGGCCACCATGCTCACCAGCGGGAGCAGCAGGGATGGTTATGCCGCTGTCCTGACCAAGGGCGATGTGGAGAAGCTCAGAGCCCCGTCCACACTGGCAGAGGTGGCCAAGGCAGAGAGCATCTTGAAAGATGCCTGGGCCATCCACGACAGCATGAAGCAGGACAGCCAGCAGGAGAACCAGTTCTTCAAGTGCTTTGTACCTGACCCACAAGCAGAAGCAGGCCAGAGAGGCCAGAACGTGGGAGAATCTTCCACAGATTCTCCAAGCATTCACAGACGAGCTTCCAGGCGCCAGCCAAGCTGAAGGGTCAAAGTCCAGCTCGACCCAGGCCATGCCTGTGAGCAACGTCCTGGTGGCAGGTCCCAAGACTTTGGCCATGTTGCAGAACCTCCACATGGAGATTGGCCAAGTGCACCTCATCACGCGACGATTTGTCCAGGGTATAGTTTCAAACAATGTTTATAATAGGTCAGAAGGTTAAGGGTTTGGAAGGTTTAGGCTTACGTGCTTTACATGCCAAAGCATTATTCCTGAGAATGAAGCAAGAGCATCGCAGCAAGCAGGAGATTTCAGCATTGCCTGCTTGCTGTCGAGCACATCTGCAAATTCATGTAAGGGTTCCTATAGGGAGGTTGTTTCCGAAATTCATGTTGAACATTGGAATTCAGATATCATGAGGGTTTAGGCTTCATGGGATTTTTGAAAGTGAGATGATGCTTCTCCGAGGTATACGAATCCAAAAGAGCAGGGGGCCAAGGTGTACGAATTGACCCAAATCACAGACGATGAAGCCACCATGGAGCACAGGCCACTGCTGCAAGATAAGGAAGTGCTTCAGGTGCCACTGGGCCAGTTAAGCAAGTGGCGAGTCAGCAAGGCCCAGATGCGTCAGCTGTGCCCCCAAGACCTGGCGGCTGCCATTCTAGGCCATGCGTGCCAGCCCATTGAGGAAGAGTGGACGAAGGCCAACCTCACGTGGCAGCTGCGCCAAGCCTACGAGCAGCATGCTGTCGACACCACCAAGCTGGGGTTCGGCAAGAGCTGCTGACCCTTCAGCGTGTCAAGAAGGGGCAGCTGAAGCTGGTGCCACTGCACACCTTGGCAAAGCCAAGGCTGGGCAGATCATCAAGGGATCATTTACGCAGGAGTGGCAAAACACCACCTTCTCCAATGAGTGCACTGCTGGCAGGCTCATCCCGGCATGGTGGGTCAAGGCCACCAAGGAAGAGGAGGAGTCCAACATGACCTGGCAGAACATCTCCATGGAGAGCTATTTGAAGATTCCATGCTTGGGCAACAGCAATTCCCAAAGGCCAAGCACTCCAGTACTTGCTCAAAGCAGCTGGATCTGGAGGGCCACCAGCCAAGAAGGCCAAGAAGTAGGGCCATGAGAGACAATCGCGCGCAGAGCAGAAAAGAAGACTCGACAATGTTCAGCGTGCCAGGGTGGCCTCACATGAAGCCATGCACTGCTGGGATCATGCTCTGCGTCACCGGTAAACCCTGAATTCTCATGTAGGGGAGTCATAAGGTTTATACATACGGGTCCATGAGTAGGAGTGAAGGCATGGCCGGTTGAACTTGGGCTGGAATTTCAGGAAGCTGTAGGCCAAGCATTTCTGCCCCACCTGGGCCTGCTATTGCCATGGCGGCCCCAACCACCTCCATCCGGTTCATGACAGGGCGCCCAGATGAGACCCCAGAGCTCTACTCAGTCCACAGCGCATGGCCCCTGGACCAGACCAAGCGAGTTTCCCAGCCACTGGAAGACTCCACTGTCTGTGGCCAACCCCAACCCCCGAACCCATTTCTACATTCGCTTCGTCCATGCCGTCTTTCTTGCCTTGCTGGCCTTTC